ATTCTGTGTACCGTTTCCACGCGTCCCAACTTCAAGCATCCAGATCAGGGAAAGAAGAATACGAGGCTGCAATTTCCAGAACGCGGAAGCGACAAAGCAACAACTCTGTCGATCAATACTCAAGCTGGCCTACACTACAGGCTAGAGTTAGCGTCCCTCCGACCTCCATGTGGGGCGGAAGGGCGCTAACTCCCCGTAGAGTTTGAACGCGAGTGTGTTCAAACTCTACAGGTACCCTTTCTGTGTGAACAGCCTCAGCTTTGACCTCAATTGCTTCAAAAGGCAAGGTTCGTCCCCTCATAGTTCTTGTGCCATTTTTGCAGAGGTGACCAGCTGTGCTGTTACGAGGAACATGTTTAGTGCAACCTCTCGTCGCACAGTGATAATTGCGTTGATCAGATCTGCTGTTTTGTCCAATATAGAGTACACATAAAGGCTTTTGGATTGCTCTTTCATCATGCAGTAGGTATGCCTTAATTCTTCAGTTGTTCATTTTTATTGAAATGTTAAAGAAACGACAACATGATTGTTGTCTTCCACTTTCTCTGAGGCAGGTTCAAGCCTAGAGTCTTTGCCAGTGTCGCCAGTGGCCTTCCGACGCCCCGCCTTCCTACTAAGAATACGGAGTTTGAAATTGGATAGCTCAGGTGCATTCCTAGCAAAATAAAGGAGCAATGGCTCATTTCGAGTGCTTTGAGCCGACGATACATACACAACTTCAGAGGCGGCCATGAGCCTAACTTGCACCCAATTGGCCAGTCTGTCCGCTCCCATCCCTCCTGTCACTGTGCCTACCACCTTAGATGCCACAGAGAGTGTATTTTTGCTTGTTTTTGCTTCTTGCACTTAATTTCGATGTATGCACATTTACCTTAAAAATATAAATTGCCGAAAAATATTTTTTTCTCTGTGTTACTAGGTTGTCTGAGTGCAAGTGCTAAACAAGCTGAAAAATCATTGCACAGTCCCTTTAAAGATGTCATTTTTAAACCAGCTCGCCCGCATCCTCAAGTTAACTTGAAGAACATGCATGTTAATTGCTTATTTATTACACTTTACACTAAGTAGCTGTGGAAATGGCAAAACAGTGGGGGAATACAGTGGTAGCGAATGAGGCACAAACACAATTTCAAACATGAATTACAACATTTCGGCGAAATAAATCTGCTAGGTACGGAGTGTGACACTGTTAGAGTGTACTCTAAACGACTTAATTTTGTGGGCTCAATATTCATGAATTTTGCAAAGCGCTACATTGAGAAATATTTCACAGTCATAGGCCTTCGCAATTAGGAGTGACAATCAATGAGCGCGTTAAGTCGGCGCTCCTTTACTCCTACTCCGACGCTCCGAGTTTCATGCTCCGAGCGCAGCAACTAAACGGCGCATATCGTACAGGAGCGCGACACACCGAGGCTGCGTTCCAAACCTACTCGAATAGATCCGAGTTTCCCTGGCGTTTTATGGCACGTGACAACAAAAATAGACAAACGCTGGACGCGGGTAGGTCTTCGATAACCACCTTTACCCTAGAGTTAGATCGAGTAAGTTTTGGAAAACGGCCAGAAGCTATCGACGGGCCACGGCCCACAGGAGCTCCTTCCAACCGTGGATACGGGTGGCAGAAGCCGAAAATATTTCGAAGATAAATAATTAGGCCCGTGTAGAGCGGCAGAGTCTAAAGCAAAAGAGACGGCAACGTTATGAAGTTTCTACGAACGTTTTAATATTCCTGAAAGGTTTAAACTCGCTTCGTGCACATATGTGGAAGGTTACCTTGGTTGACCTGTTTACTGACCATGCATGCTGTTCCGATTTCAATAAAAGACAACATTCTTGACCCCGCTCGTCGACGCAGGAAAACCCTCAAATTTATCAGATTCCCTGGTTCCGTCTCGCGACGAGACGGAAGCTACGCCGATACCGGCACACCGTTGTTCGATTGCACGTCAATTCGTTTTTAGGCGGTATGCATGAACAAACCTTTACCGCAAGGCTAACTGGTATTTCGGCTTTCCAATCTAAGTATCTTTATTCGTCGCGGCCGGGCTAAGCATTCGAAGCAGGGCGACCGTCTGACTGTCTTTTCATCACATTTCTGTCGCCGAGCTATCGGCACGCTCGTTCGATAGATCAATTTGTTTTTAGGAAAGACGCACGAACAAACCTTTTCCAAAACGGTCACTGATGTTTCAGCTTTCCAATCGAAGTACCTATTCGCTGGGCTAAGCATTATAAAAGGGACAGAGCGGTCCGAATGTCACATCTCGACAACTTTTCTGTCGCTGTGCTATCGGCACGCTACCGTTTGATAGATGAATTACTTTTTCAGGCGAGATTCACGGACAAACCTTTTTCGGAACGCTAATTGCCGTCTTGGCTTTCAAATAAAATCGTTTTTACCAGCTAGATTAAGCACTAATCAACTGAAAAGGGGCAGCGGTCCGGCTACGCCTTTCGTCTCGACGGTCTCAACAGGAGCGCAGTTATCTTGTTTGTTTACATGACGTCACGGAGCGCGAAGAAGTCACTCGCGCTCCGAAAAATTCTCGGTGCACGAAGAGCGCGCTCGAGTGTCAGTCTCCGGTGGCACTCCTGTCTGTTTAGTGAAAGGAGCGCCAAACTCTCGCGCTCCGGAGCGCCGACTTAACGCGCCCAATGTGTTCATATTCATGGGGTAACTTATTCGTGTGACCAAATTTTCTCAATTTTTATTAAACCGACAATTTCTTGAAAATCAGCCCATCACAAAAATTAAATAGTTTATGGTGTTACAAATGAGGTATATACAGCGAACTGTTTTTTTTAGGCTGATTAATCTGCTCAAAGTCCTTGCTTGTAAGCAAAACTAAGACACAGTTTTAAAGAGGTTTATGCGCATGGAGTCTGGTCTGGTTGTTTCTATTTTATATTTAAACACAAAATAAATGGTTACAAGCACACCTCATGCTTGCCAGGTTGAAGTGATGTAATCTGGTTACAAGTGCCCGTGTTGCATGATCATGCTAAAGAATGTTTTTTTAAATTGCAAAATAATGATGAAATATTTTGCTGCAAGGCTTAGGGAAGTTTATAAATTAAAGATGTTGGAAAAATTTATTTTGAGGCAAATCTAGTTTCATAATGTGACCCCTTTAAAAAGATTGAATATTATGAAACACAAATTCATACCAGCGTGCTCCAGCTGTCTTGGAGTGAACTCCTGCAACAAGAGGATGTAGACCGCCTCCACTAGGCAGCGGAGATGTTTCCAGTAGCGTTGATCCAATATCCCCAAGGTGCACGGTAGGCAGTAAAACAGCAGTCACTGCCTCCACTCGCTTGCCTTCCAAAAGCTCCTGTCGCCGACAGGCCGAGGAAGGCGAGTTACGGAGTGCGGGGGCCGGATACTCAGCAGCCGCTTGTTTACTGTGGCCACCACAGAGGGACTTCCTGCAAGACAAGTGTAATGTTAATAAAGCAGAAGACCAGAACAAACTCAGTCCTATGCATTAGTGTCGCAAAGGTTTTGATTACAACTGCCTTCTCTAACTATCTTTTATTGTAGTCACCTCATCTGGTCTGGCCATCATTAACAAGATAGAAAAATCAATGACCTCGACGCAGAACAGACACTTTGGCATCGGGTCCCCTTGCTTCTTATCTAAGCAGATAGATTACGAAGTTTAACGTCAAAGTTGCGTTGTCTGCACCGGACAAACTAAAGAAGTTGTGTCCGAAAATTAACAACAAGCAGAAGCAACAGGGTGTGTGCGGAGTTCAACATCAACAAAAATACGTCGAATGCCAATGTGCAGTCGTATACGAAATATTGTTTAGTTGTGGGAAAGTGTATGTGGGTCAGACAGGAAGGTGTGTCAACGATCGTCTAAGAGAGCATGCCGTGTCCCTAAAGTCGCCGCCAGCAGGCCACTTTGCGTACATGTCAGGGACTGCCAGTGCTCCGTCTTGTTCAGGAAAACAAAAATCCTGAAACGTTTCGGGGAACGACGAACTCGCGAGCTCTACGAGGCACAGGTTATTCTGTTCAGTGGGGATGCCTGCATAAGCGCGCCGTCCGTGGCCTTGTCACCAAAAAAACTTTAATTTTTAAGTCGCGATCTTTAACGATCCTTAGAATCTGTGAATAGTTTAAACGTAAACTTCCTCTTTCTTTTTTCTACCGTAGTTTCTATTCACGTCCTCCCAGGACTCGATCGTTTTCAACAAGTCATTTAAGCGAGCAACTTAAAGCTTGGTATTCTTAGCAATTCATTTTCAGGCAACTCAAGCTATAGCATATGTTTTTGCGGGTTTTTATTATGCATGTTTTAAAAGCATTCTTGAATTCTTTTTTCTCTTTCACTTTTTCATTAAACGTCAGTTGTTAGTTCAGCGCTCTATCTTGTCTCCCTTGTCTCCCTTGTCTATCCTTCCTTGTCGTATTTGCGCTGTTAATTCAACAATATGATCAACCAACTAGCCCACCAGATGATCGAGATTTGTATTGCGATCGCTGTAAAAAAAACATGATGAACTATTTTTTCAATACTGTTAATCCCAGAGCTCGGGGCCTAGCTTTGACAAAATCCCAAGATGGAGCATCGCGGCTAACGGCATAACGGGACGCAAAGCTGCCCGAGTTTTTGTCGCAAAAGCACATTTTTTACTTAAAACAAATGAAACATGACTTATCTCGTCGGTGCTGTTATTAAAGATCAATGAGCAATTATTTTTGCACACTGTAATTCATTAAATTTTAGTTATAAAACTATAAGGTCATGTGTCTAGTGGTCAAAAATATGCAACTTGACAGCGGCCAATTGGGGGTCACCGCCCCCCTTTCAGCTGCCAGTTTTTCGCTCTAAGGCCCTCTACCTTGTTGTTCTGTACATATGCCTGTCTGCATACATGCTTGATCAGGAACATATATATGACCAAGTCACTTGACATCCAGCTACAAATCTCCAAGCGCATTTATAGTAAGCTTGAGGCAGCTCATCTGCACTGTTATCATTGTGTCAGTATTCACTGCAAGTGTATATTGACAGCTTACCGATATAGTAGTTCTCCCGGCAGTTGGTCGAGCTGAACAGGTACTCTGTGAACTGCCTGGTGACACCCAACAGCACACAGTGCATGTAGTCAACGGAGAAACCCCAAACCAGGTTGAAGTGGGGAAGGTCGGTGAGGGGGGAAGGTCCCTTGACTCCGTTGACCGACGCACCGGACAGCAAGGCGAGCTGCATGTCTCTGCGCACCCCTTCTGGGGTCCTCTCTTCATCAGGTGTTGTGCCCCGATAGCGCAGGCTTCCTAGAAATGCAAAACAATATTAGCAGGTCTCAGCTTTGAAACTACCAACAAATAGAAGTAACCAGTGCACCCAATTGGAGCTATAAGGTTTTAAGGTGAATTCCGCTCGCAGATCTCGAGCGCTCCAAAAGCGCTCCATTTGGAGCGCGCATATTCCGCTCGCAGATCTGGCTCGAGTTGGTCATCTTCCGCTCATAGATCTCTGGCAGCGCCCTCAAACCCCGCCGAACTTGCTCTGCGGGATTTCATAGATATTTCCGGAAGTTGACAGAGCGGCCCACTGATTTCCTTCAAAATCGGCAGTGCGCATGCGTGGCGAGATTGGAGAGGTCGGCGGGCCGGTTGGACCACGGTCGAGTCGTCGAGTTGGACCTGTTCGGGTGCGTCGGTTGTTTACGCGGGATTGTGACGGCTCGAACGTCTCTACCTCGCGTAGATCAGGGATACAAAGCCGTGACCGTGGAGCGTGGTAAATCGTAAGCGCTGACATCTGTGATCATGAGAGGAAGAACGAGAAAAGGAACGACGGAAAAGCCGGAGGCAGACGCAAGGTTAGGCCTGTTCATTCTGCAGCCAATGATTGTTTACCTTTTTACATTGCACTCCGCTGGCGTTTTCCCAAACAATAAAGCAAGAAGAAATTAGGCAACGACCGTGCAAGTGATGGTTTGTTACCTCTGTGTTTATTAAAATCGTACCAGAAATCTGAACTCCACCGCTGGCAATCGCTGTCCGTGCCCTGCCGCTTCGAGGCGGCCGAAAGGTATGTGACAGTGCCGAACGCGGACGTCTTTGTTATTTGTGACATGGGCGCCGTGGTACATATATTTCGCCCAGCTTATGCCGGGTGTTATTTCTGCAGCTAAGCAGTGGCAGTCGTCACTGATCGTCGGAAAGATCAGTCGGCTGAGGCATTGGTGGGCTTGTCAAGTTCGAGCAGAGGCCATTTTGAATGGCGGAGGGGGAAGCGGTGGGGAGAGGTGTGGGGGAGGTCACTCAAAAAATGCAAGTTTATATTCCCCTCGTCAATTCAGAGCGGGCCCCACGGAGCAGAATTTCGCCCCCCTCGCGGATTTTGGAAAGCGCTCCGGATCTACGAGTGAAATTCACCATTAGGTAATCTAGAGCATACACAATTACCGCAGCTTCAACATGATTTAAGATTGCATTACTTGCTTTGAGAAACTTGTCTCAATTTCCTGCAGATGTCGGCAACAAACCTTAAACGAACTGATGAGCGCATTGGTTTAAGCTGAGAATCTATAAAAAAGCACAGATCCTGTTTTGTTATCGTTCCTCTTTTTCTTTTTCTTTTTTTTACGTCCTGAAATTACAAAACGCTAAGCCGAAACGAACCACTTCTTGTATTCAAGGGGATTCTTTCACACGCAGTACATGGGATCATGATCGGATTGGCGCAATGCATCGGGAATCCGACGGGGGCACGCACTGCGAATTTCTGGAATGGTCTATTGCAGGGGTGGCCAGGATGACCCAGCCTAAGAGCCGCAAACAAAACCACTAAACTCCAAAGAACCACAAGGGGGGGGGGGGGGGGGGGAACTCGTGTTCAGAGCAATAAACAAAACTCGAACTACTTTCAATCTACCTGAGTCAAAAGCAGTGGAACTGTACGTAAGGTAGCGGTAGCACAGGACTACCAAACCTCAACCTGTATTTCAATATAAAACGCGTTCATTTCTCTTTTGAGAGGGCGGTTAGGGGAGGGAGCCCTAACCCCCCTCCCAAACTAAAGAGTGAAAAAAGGCTTGCTGACAGACACAAAGTGACTACAGTAAGTCCAAAGTCCTTACCCTCCAGGTGCTCTCCACTTGCCAAGCACCAGGTGCACCCGAAGTACCCATTGTACTGCACGTGGTGTCGGACCTCGGCCCGCGCAGGTGCGTCGACGCAGCAGCAGAGGGCGTGGACCTTAGACGACAAGACGGTGGAGTTGTGTTCCCAAGTCAGCAAGCCCAGCGGCGTCACTTCCTCGACAAACTTGGTCATGAAGAGGCTCGTGTCCGGGTGGCTTGAGCCAAACCAAAGTCCTCCCAAGACACAGTGGTTGAACCGCTCACTCGGTGGAAGTTCATTAACAATAAACTGAACTGGCCACACCGACGCTCTCGAGGACTTATACAAAGGGCTGCCATCCGTGTTGAAAGTAATGGTGAGGTCAGTCCATTCATGTAGACCACTCTGCTGAAAATGTCTGTAGCCTGCTGCACTTGTAATGTCTTGAATGACATCTGAAGGTGTCTGAGCTTCTTCTCTGAGCTTCACCAAATTCTCATGAAGCACCTGCTTCGTCTGACTGATGATATGTCTCATTTGGTCGTGCAAATTCATTGTAATGAAAAAGCAGCCATCGCTTTTGGCCTGGGCAAGCTCGAATGTCATGGCACATTTGGAGCACACTTTCCTGGCTTCACTCTCGCTGGCATCATCAATGGAGGATCCACACCCTCTACAGTAATAGTGGTATCTGACCACGTTTTCAGTCTTAGCTGCCCAGAGCTTCCTAAAAAGGTATTTGCTGCGTGGTAGAACATCACTTCCAGCACCAAACAGTGTGTTTACTAGGTGCAGTAATTTGTCTAGCGCAGCCCAGGGCATGTTTTCTGAAGTCAAGAAGGCCATGATGAGGGCCACAGCCTCTGCTTTTGTTGTTGTTGAGTGTGGTAAGGTGCTATTCCCATACTCAGCAAAGCTGTCCGCGAGACACTGAGCTTCATCGTACACGGGCGCATCCGACACACTGTCAGAAGCGTGACTGTCGTGATCAAGTCTCATATTGATGCCGTCGCCCTGATCAACGGGATTGCCATACTCATCTTCAACAACCATGCCGTCCTCTCCGTCAAATGTTTCTTCAAGGAAACCGTCCGCTTCGGCTTGGCCACTCTGAACTCCATCATTTGTGGGCTGGTCGTTCCTTGACGTAGATGGCGAAGGTTCGTTCACACTCGTGCCGTGGCCACTCTGGCTGGTATCGGCGCACTCGGCAATCCGTGCAGAATTACGGTTGTGCGTCGTGCGCGGCAGTTGAAACGGCTCACCACATTCCAAATATTTTTTCCTCCGTTTGTTCGGGGTGGCCATGGTATTTATTCGGCCGACACAAGGGAACTGAAAGCTTACAAAAGGCGTTGGGCCATATGCACACTTTTCCCACGTGTGGAACGGTGGAACCCAGTGGGTGAAATACTCTCCTTACTACAGACAACATAGAGCTTATGTATACCAAAGCTTGACACCGATTGTTCGAAGCGCTCTGGCTTTTGCACACTGCGGCTATATTCTCAACTACTAGTGTGGAGACTCGCCGCAGCGCGCAAGAAGGTTGGCATTCGCAGAGCTCTGCGCATTCGAGCGAGAGATGAGTAGGCCAACTTTCCGTTGGTGCCGTTGGTAGTTCGCCAACTGATTCGATCATGCAAGGAGGCGAAACTGGATTTAATTGGATTAGGGAATAATTTGTCTTATTATTTTTTGTTTAATGCACTATACTTGAATAATAAAAACTAAATAGGTATTTAAAATTGGACTTAAATCTTAGTGAATAAAAAAATGTTTAAGGAAATTTTTTTTTTTATTGTTTTTATTTTCGATATGTATGCTTTATTAGGTGAGCAGTACAGATCGGAGACGCCGTTCAATGAAATGTCGGGTCGTAGCTGTAGTGTGTGTGTAAATATTGCTTTTAATATAAATTAAAATAAATAAATAAATAGTGAGCTGCAAGGGCGTTTGCGGGAAAACCGAACAGGGAGCTCAAACCCCGCCGAAACGCGCTAGCTGTTCGGATTCGCAAGTTTCGAGAGCATGGCGTTACATATAGATCAAAGGATAAAGAAAAACGATAGTTCCTAATGGGACCGACGTCCGCTTAAGCAAGTAGTAATTGTAATAGTAATCTTTATTGGTTCAGGAGAGCCGTGGCACCGTGGGAAGGCGACAGCCCGTGCCATGGAGGAACGCGCAGAGCCTGGGCCCGTGGTGCCGCGTCTAGTGATGATGATTAAGGGTGGGGAGGACGACGATGATGCTGAAATGGAGCCCGCGGGCGAGGGTGCGGGCCCATGTTGCTGGTGATGAAGGCCCGGTCGGCCCAGTGCACTTCAGTGGGCTGCTCGCCGGGTCGGTCCTCCGTTCAGCTGGCAGATATACGTCTTGACATTGAAATTGAACTGCGGGTCTCCGGTTAATTTCAATAAGAACGCTTCTGCGAAGGAAATACATTCTCGCTTATTCTTTCATGGTGATAAGTATTTTCACCGAAAGAAACATTACCCCAAATTAGGCTTAGGTGTCCGTCGACTCGCAGAAAAATTCGGTTTTTCTTTATTATATCTTTATTCAGGCAAAACATCGCGTCCTGCTCGAACCACCAGTACTACGTTCCGGCAGATTGAGCTCCCTGCGACGTCTAGTTTATTTTCTCGGTGCGAAAAACACTGTTCGGTTTTCTCGCAAAAGCCATTAAATCGGGTACGGCCACGGTAGGGACAACTGGTACGCCTCCATTGTGACTGCTAGCTTTCGATGCTTGCATTTGCCCGCTTATGTAACATAGGGACGGGAATGCAGACTGACCGAAATCCGGTCTCAGGTTTGATCAGAACTCTAGATGCAGTGACCGGCGATTGGAGCTGGAGCAATGGCTTTCTGCAAAATTGCCGTGTGAGAAGCGCCAGGTGCGTTGGAAGCTTGTTTTTGACTGCCAGATTCCCTCCATGTTAGTGTATGTTTTCTGGTTTAGCATATGTTGGGGCCTACCATGCGGAAGTCTGTTCCGTTTAATTTCTAGCGCGCATGGCATAAACGAAGAAAAAAGCTGGCACTTTCAACAGGCCTTGATATCAGCATCAGCATCACCATGCATTGTGACTTTTCGTATCATAAGAGTGAAGCGAATGATGCATACAAGCACTTGGGAAAACCTAATTGTGCTTTCGGGCAAAGGCGCCTCCGGTTAACAGAGGTTATTGGCAGGTTAATCAGATACGGGCCTCACAAGCTTGTTGTGCGGGCTGTATGCCTTTCTGTACGTGCCTGCGTTTCGAGCGCTAAAACTACGTGTCTGATTTCGGCGTCTTCCTGAGTAGCGTGTATCGTACTGGTGGGAGCAAAATGACAAATTATTTTAATCTAACACACTAAATACACAAATGGACACAGACACCCCTCAAGGTTGCACGGGTGGACACGTTTTGCCAATATGTGCTTCTTTTCGTGTTTTTGACCTCTTAGGCCTTATTCCCTTGGGCCGGGCGCGCTCTATCCGATCTGTAAGATACAAGCAAACGTTCAGAACACGTGCAGCGCAATCTCGCGCTGCCTGGGTCGTTCCTTCTATCAATCTCCGCCTTCGCGTGTCTCGATCTCGATGAACACAGTACCGGCGTGGGTTCGGCTTATTAAAGGGGCGGTGCAACAATATTCAATTGGAATATTTTTCACTTCACACGAGCTTACTGGCACTAGTGGGACTCTAGGATACTCGCACGCAACGCCACTGGCCAAAAAACTCTTTTGTTGCGCTGTAATTTCGAGGACACAACCGAGTGTTTTCATTCAATCTCTCCTTCGCAAAACATGATGACGTAGCTGGGCGGTAGCAGTACCGCCCAGTGACGATATTTGAATGCGGCTCATAGATTCGACCCGAGCATGGCGTGGACACTCGATTTGGGCTCGTGATAACCGATAGCTCGAGAAGCATTCGGGTAGTGTCCCGTGTCCAATCGCTGCAATGACGACAACAACCGAACCATAACAATGTCTGGAACTTAGCGCGTGTCCTGTGCCTTGCCAACACCCGCGCATGGCTATGATCAATATTGGCGGCATATAATCGGCTCCAGATCACGTGGCCGCTTGTTCTGGCTGCGAGTTGAGGGGGTGAACTCTGCTCGTTTTTCTTTATTTTTTTTCTGCGATTTCGATTGCCTGTGGTGAAAAACCAACGGGTGTTTCACACGTCATTAACGTCAGGGATCCGTTCTAAGCGGTATTTGCGCAAAATACAAAAATCGTTGCATCGCCCCTTTAAGCGGTCTTGTGTAGTACCGCGTGGACGTACTGCGCAGAGCATTTGACGAAATGCCATTTTAAAGCAAACGGCTGTCTAAGCACGCATACAACCAAGTTGACTGACTGAGCTAGAAAAGAAAAGGCGCGGAAGCTTTCGAAAGAGTAAATTCATGTTATGGCATTATCATTTCTGCACCGCTCTTTTTGTTCACCAGGAGATAATTTACCTCTAAAGATTTAGGTAGGAGGATAGAATATTGGTGGAAAAGGTCTAAGGAGAAAGCAATGAGTTAGAACACTAAAGGTGGGTCTCTAGTAGGGACGGTACTGAAAACAAAATCTATGAAATTAAAAAAAGGCAAAATATTCTAAGCAAAACCGCTAGGTGACGCAAGCTACCACCACTACAGAGATCAATGGTCTATTCATTCAAGCCAAGCGGCCAAGCCCTTGGGCCAACGCCTCCTCCCCCGCGCAGCGCTGCCCCGCGCCATCCTATGCGTCTTCGTTGTCGCTCGTGGTGCGTGTTGTTGTTACGTTGTTGCCGTCGTGCCCGAATCGTATTGACTCCGCTACTCCGCCACGCTGCTTTGCTGCACACCGGTCGTCGGGATGTATGCGTACGTTGCGTTTGTTGATGGTGGCAAGGCTGTCGTCAGCATAAAGCTGATAAAAAAGTTTTCGCCTAAAAACACAAGCGATTTTAACCCGGATGTTCTTAAGAACGTGTATTGGAAATCCAGCGCCGACGACGAAGGGTATTACAAGGCCAGTGTGCAGCTGCTTTCTGGTAAGTTTTTTTTTTTTTTTTTTTTTTTTTCATTGCACTATTCGTGCCGACTCAAGATTTGTAATCTCAGTGCATGAAACTTACCACTGGCTTACCACGGCTCATATACAAAATGGCGGCGCCCATCGGATACACATGCATTTGCAGTACACGCATGTGAAAGCACGGCCCAAGCTAGTGCACGAGCGGGATGGCACGTGATGTTGGGTCTTCGGCTGTCGCGCCCCAGGCTTCGCAGGCTTTCTTTCATGTCTGCGTCGGCGCGCGGATAATCTCTATACATGTTTGCAAGTACGGCATCCGGGCGCCGGGGGCCTTGCTATCTGGGGTGTATACACTGAAGGCACGACCAACAGTTGATTGGCTCGAATTTCGTGCCGTACAGCCATAGGGTTTGTGCAGCAAGGTTACAAACCTGAACATAGAGGGGTGACACAAGGCTTCTCACATGCTTGCTTTGGTTGTCGCACCCTGCTTGTTTACTGAATCGGTTCTTGAACTTTCTCTTGCTATTGCTACAAAACTCCTAGCTAATTTTGTGGTCAGTCACGGAACCCCATTGATTACTTTATTAAAGATACGCACCGGGGCACTTTCTTGCTTGCTTTCTAACTTATTTATGTAATTAAAACTAAAAGGCACGTAAAAGTTAAGAAACACGGGCACTGTATACAAAAGCAAATAGGTAAAGACACGATTGCAATATTCGAAACATAGACATCTGCAAATATGTCTTAATGTTTTAGCAAGTTAACAGTGCATTCAACTTATTTATTTTTTTATATACTTGTTTCTGTGTTCAATACCCTCTGCCATGTGGCAGGTATCCTGGAGACAAATAAATAGGCACTATTTGTGTTCTTCCTAAGTGATGCGACGGAATTGAGCACTGGCGCCATATCCTTAATGTGAGGGTTGTTTTTAATAGTAATGTAGGGGTTGATTAAAAATATGCAAAATTGTGTATGTCTGTATGAGTGTTGGTCAATCCCGTTCTCTTTTATTAGGGAGATTTAGTAACCCATTTTTCCTCTCCGGTGATGATTTCCAATAACGGAATGATGCACTTGCAAAAGTGCCGGAGGGTAGCGTGTATTGTAATAAGGGTTATTGGAATGGTCTGCTAAAACTATATAGGGTCTAGTCACCCGCCGCTCGCAAGTGGTGCACTCTGCGCATGCCATCATCTGTCTCCGTGCCAGTCCCGATACTGCTCCTGCGTCGGTCGCAGTACGCAGTGGTTGGTAATTTTTTGGGCGGACGCAGAAAACAAATA